CTTTACCTTTTTACCTTACATTTAGTGAATGGCAGATCGTGAACCCCCTACTTAAATGAAATTTTAGGCAAATTAATCTTAAAGAATTAAGCTCCAGGGCCGGAGCAGAATACAGCGGGGAGGGTGTTTGTCTTGCATGCAGCTGACCCAGGTTCAATTCCCCACACCATATACAGTCCCCTGAGCCCTTCTGGAGTAGTTCCTGAGCTCAGAGCACTGCTGGGTGTAGTGCCCGCACACACACACAAACACACGCACACACACAAAACCACCTTTAAAAAAACTAGAACATATTTCTTTCATTTTGCGGGGATGGGGCATTAGTAGGGGTTGTGAGCAGTACCCAGGACTTACTCCTGGCAGGGCTTGGGGTACCATGGGTCCTACAGATCACACCCTGCTCAGTCAGATGCATAGCAAGTGCCCTATCCTTCTAACTATCTTTCTAGCCCCTCCTTTTGTGTGTGTGTGGGAGGCCGTGTTTGGGGTTTTTTTGTTGGGGGGGGTCACACCTGGTGGTACTCAGGGCCAACTCCTAGCCCTGTGCTCCCAGGATCATTCCTGGCAGTGCTCAGGGGACCGTATGTGGTGCAAGGAATCGAACCCATGTTGGCCATGTGCAAGGCAAACACCCTTCCTGCTGTACTAACGCTCTGGCCCCTGGTGGGGACTTTTGCAGTTCAACATCTTAATGGGTGCATTTACTCTCTGTTTTGTTTTGTTTTGGGGCCACACCAGGTATTGCTCATGGCTTCCTCCTGGCTCTGCACTCAGGAATCCCTCTTGGTGGTAGGCCAATGCAGGTGGTGGGCCAAAGCCTCTCCTTTGGGCCACACCTGGTGGTGCTCAGGGCTTCCTCCTGGCTCTGCATTCAAGGATCACCCTTGTTGGGCTTGCGGGCCCGGATGGGGTGCCAGGGATTGAACCCTGGTTGGGCACACGTAAGGCAAGCATCTTACCTGCTTAACTATTGCTCCAACCCCATTCCGTCAATTTTATTTATTTATTTATTTATTTATTTATTTATTTATGTGTTGGAGCAATAGCACAGTGGGTAGGGCATTTGCCTTGCACATGGCCGACCCGGGTTTAATTCCTTGTCTCTCTTGGAGAGTCCAGCAAGCTACCGAGAGTATCCCGCCCACACGGCAGAGCCTGGCAAGCTACCCATGGCGTATTTGATATGCCAAAAACAGTAACAACAAGTCTCACAATGGAGACGTTACTGGTGCCCGCTCGAGCAAATCGATGAGCAATGGGAGGACAGTGCTACAGTGCTATTTATTTCTGCATTTTGGGTCACACCCTGCTGTACTCAGGAGTTACTCCTGGCTTTGCACTCAGGAATTACTCCTGGCAGTACTGGGGGGACTATATGGGATGTTGGGGATAAAACCCGGATCGGCCACATGCAAGGCAAATGCCCTACCCGCTGTGCTATCGCTCCAGCCCCATTTTTTTTTAAATTTTATATTCCCCTTATACTTTATATAAACACTGTGGTTTAAAAAGTTGTTCATGGGGGCTGGAGCAATAGCACAGCAGGTAGGGTGTCTGCCCTGCATACAGCCGACCCGGATTTAATTCCCAGCATACCATATGGTCCCCTGAGCACCACCAGGAGTGATTCCTGAGTGCAGAGCCAGGAGTAACCCCTGTGCATCTCCGGGTGTGACCCAAAAAGAAAAAAAAAATTGTTCATGGAACCAGAGCGATAACACAGCGGGTAGGGCGTTTGCCTTGCACGCGGCTGACCCGGGTTCAATCCCTGGCATCCCATATGGTCCCCTGAGCACCGCCAGGAGGTTACTCCTGGCTCTGCACTCAGGAATTACTCTTGGCGGTGCTCAGGTGACCAAATGGGATGCCAGGGATCGAACCCAGGATGACCACAAGCAAGACAAATGCCCTACCTGCTACACTATCACTCCAGCCCCCTCTTTGCCTGACCTTAAGTCCTGAAGATACCCCCTATACATTCTCCCAAAATTTCCCTCATTTAAAATTTTATATTTAGACCTCCCATCCCTAGGTATTCATTTTCCACATGGGCCAACATTCAGTTCATGGCCTAGTTAGCCAATCATTTTAGGGCCGCTATGAAAAGGTTTTTGTTTCCCTTTCCCATGAACTGCCTTTGTACCTGTGTCAAAGTCAGCTGGGCGTGTGTGTCTATTTCCGGGATCTCTCTCTGTCTCTGTCTCTGTCTCTGTCTTTCTCTTTCTCCCCGCCTCCCTCTCTCTTTATCTCTGTTGTTTTTTTCTGCAGTACGGGGATCGAACCCAGAGCCTCACACCTGCAAAGTAAATGCTCTTTGCTGAGTTCCATCTGGCCCTAGTCTGGATTCTCTCCCCCAGCCTTACTGATTTGGGGGTTGTATCTCTTGGCAGGTACCACAGTTTAATTACTGTATTTATATAATAATTCTTTTTGGGTTTTTTTTTTTTGAGGAGCCACGGACTGTGCTCAGGGTTGACTGCTGGTTCAGCACTCAAGGATTACTCCTGGTGGTGCTCAGGGGGACCTTATGGGTTGCTGGGGATTGAACTTGGGTCAGCCACATGTAAAGCAGACACCCTCCCCCCTGTACTATTGCTCCAGTTTCTTCCTCCCATATTCTTTGTCTTTATTTGACTCTTCTAGTTCCGGGGTGTAGACACTTATTAGGTCCTATGCTTCCTTCTATTCTTTTATTTCACTCCCCTCTTCCCCTTCCCTTTTCTTTGTTGTTGCTGTGGCTTCTGGTGGGGAGCCCAGAGGTGCGCACCTGCTCACATGTCTCACCAGTTACAGGCCCACCTCGAGTCCATCAGTTGCAGCATCTGCAGAGCTGCTCACAGGGCTCATACTCTCATGGCATCGTAGAAGTTACGGCTGTAGTGCACATATCGTCCCAGTTCTGACAGGGGCAGCTGACAGCAGGGCTGCCAGGCGCTGATCCGAGCAGGTAGGACACGTGGGCTTGGAACTCATGCCCAGGCATCCACATGGCATGAGCCCCATAGCACCCACGCCGGACCCATGCTGGCCTGCTTTCAGAAATACTATTGAATATTTCTAGAATATTCCTCACTTCCCTGAACTCCTGCTTATCCATTAAAATTCTGTTCAGGGTGGGGCTGGAGTGATAGCACAGCAGGTAGAGCGTTTGCCTTGCACGCAGCCAACCCGGGTTCGATTCCCAGCATCCCATATGGTCCCCTGAGCACTGCCAGGAGTAATTCCTGAGTGCATGAGCCAGGAATAACCCCTGTGCGTGCATTGCCGGGTGTGACCCAAAAAGCAAAAAAAAAAAAATTCTGTTCAGGGGGCTCGAGCAATAGCACAGCGGGTAGGGTGTTTGCCTTGCATGCAGCCGACCCGGGTTCGATTCCCAGCATCCCATATGGTCCCCTGAGCACGCCAGGGGTGATTCCTGAGTGCAGAACAAGGAGTAACCCCTGTGCATCGCCGGGTGTGACCCAAAAAGCAAAATAAAATAAAATAAAATTCCGTTCAGGGCGAACGGGGGAGGAGCAACAGTCCAACAGGAAGGGTCTTTATCTTGTACACTGCCTCCCCAGTTTTGATCCTAGATACTCCATATGATCCCCGGAGCACCACCAGGAGTGATCTCTGAGAGCAGAGTTGGGAGTAACCTCTGACCATCACTAGGTGTGGTGCCTCTCAAAAACCTCAGTTCAGGGGGCTGGAGTGATACCACAGCGGGTAGGGCTTTTGCCTTGCACGCGGCTGACCCGGGTTCGATTCCCAGCCTCTTATATGGTCCCCAGAGCATCGCCAGGAGTAATTCCTGAGTGCAGAGCCAGGAGTAGCTCCTGAGCATCGCTGGGTGTGACCCAAAAAAAAAAAAAAACTCAGTTCAGATATAACTCCTGAGGTGGATTAGGGTTGTAGCCGGTCCTTCATCCTTACCTATTGGCTAACTCTGGGCCCTGCCCCCCACCCCCAATCTTGTGGTTAATAGAAGAAGCAAAGAGAGGTACTATAAAGGCATGTCACTTGCCTTGAATGTGGCTGTGTGGAGGGATCGCCAGCACTGCAGGTTCTCTGGAACGTGACCTCTCCGCAGTCGTGAGTCAGATGAGGTTGGACTGCACCCCGCGACGCCGCTAGGCTGGGTGGGGGGGCGGGTCTGCACACAGCGATGCTTGTTCACGTTACTAGGCTTATGAGGTGGCAAGGCAGGAATTATCAGTTATGATTCTCATGATAGTGGCTGGGAAACACAAGCGGAGAGTAGCTCGACTTTGCCAAGGAATATTTCAGGCACCTCCTCGGAGGAACACTGCAGAAGCTCCCGCAACCTGCACCGAGAAGCCCCTCCCCAGGCCAAGGAAAGTGTCCACTGGCCTCTGGGAGCCAGGCACTCAGGTGCCTCCTGCCCTGCCCGGCAGGGGGCGCACGGCCCCGATACTGGATGGTGGGTGGAGGGGGTGTGAGTGAGCCCGAGGGCGCCAAAAGTCCTGGCCCTAACCTGGGTCCCCCGGGCTCAACACGGCCAGAGAAACGCGACAGGAAACTGTCCCCGTGAACTGCAGAGCAGTCCTGGGGTGCTGTCATTCGCCCCACACCCCGCCGGCACTCTCAGCTCGGTCCATTCTGCTCACGCCTCCTCCACGGGTCGCAGGGCCCGGCCCTGCCCCCTCCCCGCTCTCCTCGCCAGCCCCCCACCCCCACCCCGTGCGCCCCCGGCCCAGCCCCCTTTACTCTTCTCCAGCTGCAGGGCGGGGAGCCCCGATTGGCTCCAGTTTCGGGCCCCGCCCCCTCAGACCACGCCCACTGCCTCCCGCCCCGGACCCGGAGCGTACACGTGGTCGACGCGTCACCACTCCTCCGGAAGCCTCGCGTGACTAGCGAGGTGGCGCGAGCCCTCAGAAAGGGGCGGGGAGAAAACGGAAAGCTAGAAGGCGATTGGCGGAGCGCGCGGCGGGCGCGCGCGTGCGCAATCCGCGACCCGAGGCAGGTCTCCCCGCGCTACTCGGGCGTCCGCGCTCCGGGCATCGCGGCGCTCTTCGTGCCGCTCTTCCCTTCCTGGGGTTCGCGGGGCGCGGGCAGCTCCCTTCGCTCGGGTCGCCGCGACGCTTGACGGGCCCCCGGAGGGGAGCGGCCGCGTGCGCGTGGAGGGGCCCTGCGCTGTGGAGAGCGAGTAGGCGCGGGACGAGGAGGGGGTGCTGGGATGAATGAACGGGGCTAAGAACTGGGGTCCGCGGGGCGTGAGCGCGCCCCCTCCCGGCCGCTCCCGCGGGGAGGGACCCCGGACCGGAAAGCAGAGTATCGGCTTGTCCACCCCCCCCAGCCCTTTCCCTAATCCGCTCCCTTTCCCGTGCCAGGGCCCACGCCATGGCCGAAAACCGAGAGCCCCGCCGGGCCGTGGAGGCCGAGCTGGACCCGGTGGAGTACACGCTGCGGAAGCGGCTGCCGCACCGCCTGCCCCGGAGGCCCAATGACATCTACGTCAACATGAAGACGGACTTCAAGGCCCAGCTGGCCCGCTGCCAGAAGCTGCTGGACGGAGGTGCGCGGGGTCAGAACGCTTGCGCCGAGATCTACATCCACGGCTTGGGCCTGGCCATCAACCGAGCCATCAACATTGCCCTCCAGCTGCAAGCGGGCAGCTTCGGCTCCCTGCAGGTGGCCGCCAACACGTCCACCGTGGAGCTCGTGGACGAGCTGGAAACGGAGAGCGACGCGAGAGAGCCGCTCACGCGCAACCGCAATAACTCGGCCATCCACATCCGAGTCTTCAGGGTCACCCCCAAGTAACAGAAAGCAAGCGGCGCCTGGCCAGCCCCGCCACCACGGGGGGCCTGGACCCCAGCCCACCCTTTTGTGCCGAGGATGCTGAGTTTGTTTGGTTTGGGACACGCCCAGCGGCGCTCAGAGCTTACTGCTGGCATCCTCGGCGGACCGTGTGGGATGACGGGTCTCGAGCCTGGATCTGCCTGAACAAGGCAAGCGCCATACCTGCTGTATTAGATCTCTGGCCCCGAGGACTGAATTGGGGGGTTGGGGAAGGATGTTGTTTATTGGACCCTAGTGGTCCGGTCTTTGTGAATCTGTGTTCAGTTACTGTTGTCTTAGACAATAAAAAGTATCAGTTAAGTGTCCACCAAACTCCTTCCTCCCTTGCCAAGTCTGTGTCCGGTGGAAGAGGGGAGCAAAGTTATAGTAGGGGAGCCGTGGCGGTGTCCACCTTCACAGAGAGCAGAGTCGTCTGGACAGTAGGGGGCAGGGCACTAAGACCCCAGGACCCTAAGGAGCCCAGAGTTGTGACCCTTCCCAGACCCCGAAAGGGATATAGGAATGGAGGAAGTGAAGAGCCTGTGGGAGAAGCTATAGGCTTCTCTTCCTGTCTTGACGGACTCGGGCATCAAGGGCTCCCCGTCCCCCCATTTTTCCTAACTGTTGGTACAAAGACCACAGCCACCCCCAAGTAGGTAATACCTACAGTCTTGTTTGGCTATTTGTGACTTGATCGTCTGTCTTCTCTTGTTTATCAAAGGAGTCACCTAAGGCAATGTTTATCAAAGTGGGTGGTGACCCAATTGTGGATCCTAAAATCAATTCAGAGGGTCACAGCCTTTAAAAAAAAAAAATCAGCTTTTTTTTTAAAAAAAAGCACAACCTCAATGTGACCTTGCAGTTGTTGACCTCTGAGTTATAGAGGTGAATCAATGTCTACATGTTCACTAGATTTGTGCTGGAGTGGTGCTTTTATGCTGTGGTCAAAGGCATTTGAAAGCCTCTGGTTGAAAGGTAACAGCATTTTGCTCCGTAATTCACTGGAAGGCAATTGGGCTATGGTTCTGAAACTGGTGCTTTGTTGAAATTCCTCTAGTTTGAGGTGTTTTTTTTTTTTTTGTGGGGGATGGGCTGGGAACCATCTGGAGGCTTAGAGTTTATTCATTGCTCTATGCTCAGGGGTCATTCTTGGCATTCCTGGGGATGTAGTTGGTGTCCGGGATCGAATCTGGGTCGGCCACATGTAAAGCAAATGCCTTAACTGCTGTACTATGTCCCGACCCTGGGTTGAGTAATCTTGTTCACTCTGAGGGGAGCCAGGAGATAACTGCCAGCAAGTCATTGGGGCTCCTTCTAGGCCTGGCAACTACCTGTTGATTATGGTCTGGGTGTTGCCTTGGGACTCCAAGGATCCAAATGAAATGACCCCAATGTCAGGAACTCACCATTTAACGAGGAACAGGGATACAGATGGGTTTGTGAATGATTAAGGTAGGCTCAGAAAGCAAGGAACGGACATGAGAATTAGGAAGCAACTACCTTCCTGCTGGGAAGCAGAAGGTTTCACTGGGACATGGATGTTGAAGGATAAATAGGAGTTTGTTAGGCAGAAAAAAAGAATGGGGACTTAGAGGATCTATCTGACCAGGGAACACAGGGAACTCGGGTGCAGGCTGGGTGTTTCTGGCATGGAGGATGAAGGGCTGGAGACATCTCTTATACCCCCGGGCCCTGATCTCCTGTCATGGGTAACTGCAAGACCCCCTAGGATGGAGCAGGGTGCTGGATGGAACACCGGTCTCCCTGCACCTGTGGTCTGCCTCTTTCGGGTGGGGCAGACCAGACCAACCTGCATCTGGGCTGCTTCTGTCCCAGCTTACTGATTATTTTGTGTGTGTACGTCACTTTAAAGAAGTTTGCCCCTACTTTATACATGGTAGCTTACAAAGTTGTCCACGATGGTTCATTCCAGGCATTCCTGTTCCAGTAGCATCAATCCCACCCCCAGTTCCCCTTCCCTCCACCATTGTTTCCGTTTTCCCAACCACCCCTCAAGTCTGCCTCTATAGCAGGCCCATAATTTTTTTTTCTTTTTGGATCACACCTGGTGATGCACAGGGGTTACTCCTGGCTCATGTACTCAGGAATTATGCCTGGTGGTGCTCAGGGGACCATATGGGATGCTGGGAATTGAACCTGGGTCAGCCACATGTAAAGCAAATGCCCTTCCCGCTGTGCTATTGCTCCAGCCCCTCCCACAATAATTTTTATATTGCCTGTTACCACTAACAGCTTAACAGAATCATTTAAAAACATTTATATAGAAGAAAATTTGTAAACGTTGTTATATCTCACTATGGGGACATTCAATCCCTGTCTGAGGGTTCACTAAGCTGTTGTTGCAAGTTAAGCCTTCTGTGTTGTTTTGTTAGATAGGTCGGCTGCCATGTTATCTCATCCGGTCTGGTGTACAACTACTGATAGGGCAGTGCTGTAGAGTTTTGAGATGTCATATGGTCACAAATGCGGCTGCATGCTTCAGAAAATTCAGAATATTTCACTGGGCAGCCTGTGAGGCTGTCCCGAAGTGGTAGAAGGCAGCTTTGGGGTGTGGGAACAGCTGCTGAGGCTTTGGTAGGGTGGAAACTGGCCCACCCCATCCTGAGATTGCCCTGGAGGTCTCAGCTGGGAATGGGGGAAATTTGAGCAGCTAGTTGATCTCTTCTGAGATTTATTTGTGAGTCTCTGGGACAAGATAGATGAGCTTACATGGGTCCAGCCTATTGTCTCTCCCTCTAGTTCTCTGGTTGCTTGCCTTTGCCTTCCCTCTGGCCAGGTCTGTAGAAGCAGCTCCCAGCTCTGCAGAGAGCCGGGGACATGACGGGAGGCAGCAGGCCTTTGGGGGTGGCCCTGCATTGAGCCCGGGGGTCCGGCAGGCCAGGGCATATCCCACTCCCTCCCATCTGGAGGAAGGCCCACCGGCCTCATTCCCCTTCTCACTTTCTCAGCTGTGTTTTAGGACTGGGGAGCAGGGGATGGGCTGGGGGCAGAAGTTGGGGTTCAACACAGATCCCCTTCCTCTCTCCACTGCAGAGCGCACAGCAGGAAATGACCCCCTGCTTCCAGCATCCCTCAAAAGGCCAAGACTGGGGGGTGCAAGTAGAGGCCACCGCCCGCCTGCTCCTGACGATCAAACAGGAAGCCGGACAGCTCCATGTGGCAAAGCCAAACCATCACAGGAGTGAGCTTGGGAAGGTTCAATAAACAGTTACGGAGGCCAGTTCTCACTAGGCTCACCTGGCGGGGGAGGACATGCCTAGGGATGTGACCTTCTGCCCCTGTACTGACCCAGATGAGTTCCTGGTATCCAGAAGAACATGCGTTCACCTCCACAGAAGCTGGCCTTGGAGTACCGTATTTCACCTAGTCATTGCTACACACGCACCATCAGCCTGATTTTTGTTTGTTTTTTTGTTTGCGGGGAGTTAGGTGTGCGGATCACACCTGGCTGTGCTCAGGGGGTCACTCCTGATAGTGATTAGGGGACCCCAGGTGATGCCAGGGATCAAACTCTTGTCGGTCACATGCAAGGCAAGCACCCAACCTGCTATACTCTCTCTCCAGGCCCCAGGCCACCCTGTTTGTAAGAAACACTGGTGCATTTTTTTTTAACTTTTTTATTGTATCACCATAAGATAGACCCATGGGGGCCGGAGCGATAGCACAGTGGGTAGAGTGTTTGCTGGGTTCGATCCCCGGCATCCCATATGGTCCCCCAAGCACCTCCAGGAGTAATTCCTGAGTGCAGAGCCGGGAATAACCCCTGAGCATTGCTGGGTGTGACGCAAAAAGAAAAAAAAAACACTAAGATAGTTCATGATTGGATTTCAGTCATACAGTATGCCAACACCCATCCCTCCAACACTGGCACATTTTATTTTATTTAATTTTTTAATTTTTTATTTTTAAATGAATCACCATAAGGTGCAGTTACAGACTTACAAACTTTTGTGCTGAGCGATAGCACAGCGGTAGGGCGTTTGCCTTGCACGCAGCCAACATGGCCGACCTGAGTTCGATTCCTCCGCCCCTCTCGGAGAGCCCGGCAAGCTACCGCGAGTATCTCGCCCGCACGGCAGAGCCTGGCAAGCTCCCCGTGATGTATTCGATATGCCAGACACAGTAACAACAAAGTCTCCAATGGAGACATTACTGGGCCCGCTCGAGCCCACTCAAGTTTCAGTCATTCAATGATTGAGTACCCATTCCTCCACCAGTGCCTGCTCTCTCCACCACCAATGTTCCCAGTATCCCTCCCATCACCTCCCTATTCCTCCCACCCCCTTGCCTCTGTGGCAGATGCATTCCCTTTTACTCTCTCTCTCTCCTTTAGGGTATTGTGGTCTGCAATGCAAATATTGAATGGCCTTTATGTTTGGTCTGTAGTCTATTTTCGGCTCGCATCTCCCATCCTGAGTGGGCCCTCCAAACACCCTTTACTTGGTGGTCCCTTCTCTATCTGAGCTGCTTTTTCCCGCAGCCTGTGAGGCCAGCTTCCAAGACGTGGAGCAATACTTCTGGTACTTGTCTCTACTATTCTTGGGTGTTAGTCTCCCATTCTGTTACTTTATATTCCACAGATGAGAACACTGGCACATTTAAAAAAAAAAATGGTTCCATACGTGGTGGCACCCCACTTTTCTCTTTTTCAAAATTATTTGTCATGAAATCTTTGATGACACAGTGAAATGCAGTTCCTTGGGGAGCAAATCATCTGTGTTAAAGCAGTGGTAAGGCAAGCAATCTGTGAGATTCCCCCTTTCTCACAGCCCTCGGGATGCTTCTGGAATCATGTGTTTCTGCTTACTGACAGCTCTTGCTCCCTTCCCCCCTTTCATTGCCTGCGCCAGAAATAGAACACGGGTCTTCCACCTGGAAGTGAGAGCGCTCCAGGCCCACCTCTGCGCTGAGCCACCTCCCAGCCCTGGTTTTTTATGATCATCTATTGCTTGTTTGTTTTTGTCTTGGGGACCACACCTGGCAGTGCTGACTCCTGGCTCTGAGCCCAGGAATCACTCTTGGAGGGACTTGGAGGACCTTTGTTTGGGCCCAGAGATGGCACTTTGGGTCGGTGTTGTATGAGGCAAGCACCTTACCCGCTGTCATATCTCTCCGGTCCCCTCTACTGCTTTTTAAAGAAGAAAAAGTTAAGGCAAGCAGTTGGAGCAGCTGCATCCCTGCGGACAGCGTTACAGTCTGTCAAGTGTATGCATCTCTCCCTACGTTTTTTTGAGGGGGGTGGGCGGGACGGGTTATTTTTTGGGGCCACAACTGGCACTGCTCCTGGTTTTCAGGGATCACTCCTGGTAGGG